CAGCAACTAGAGTGGGTATAGACATTCACTCTCCGTGTTTGGGCGCCATCTTGGAACACCAACTTACCGTCTTCCGATTACACTTATTATTAACATCTTTATTGACAAAATTAATTACAATTTTGCCTAATTTGAGGAACCTGGACTTAGCTAAGGGCACAATCTTTCTAGTGACCTCGATGGGGGACAGGAACCCGGCGGCTTGTCAAGGGTCCCTGCATTGTTTGATAATTTTTTTCCAATTGGATTTTTAACTAGGAGGACCTTTTGGCAAGCTCCTGGCTTCCTGTAATTGTCGAGGCTACTGTATAGAGATATGGTGGCCCCTCATGTCGTTGTTGAAGATTAAGCCACCACAAGACGTGGCACGGGCATGAATAGCCCGTAGGGTGGCCCTCGGGTAAAAATAGTGTCCTCACATTTATTATGCACCCCATATCTATCCTTTGGGCGTTAGTGGAAAAGGTTACAGAGGCATTTGGGCTCAGGGACTGAACCCTAAAATTCAAGTGGCTAAGCAAGATTTGATATAATGTCTTCCCTTGGGGGCTGATTGTCCTTCCCTGGGGCCTGATTATTCCCAGTCAGATCTTACTTTCGATATCATCGAATTCTGTATTGCTGTAATCGTTAATCACAATAATTGGGCAGATTCAAGTTTATGGTACAAGAGCTACCAAGAAGAGCATGTACGTGTTGCACGACCTACATATACACTGATTACGCTTCTCTTATTCCTATCACCTGTCATCCACTCTTACCGTTCATACATTTTCCTGCATCAGTTGGTTACGATACACGTCTGTGATGAACCTACCAGAGTTACCATCCACGAGAACACTGAGGAATGGAATCCTGCCTCCAACATTTTTCTCAATAGTGAACCAAGAAGTCTCAAGAGGCCTGAGACTTTGCTTGCCAGAAAGCCTGGCAAGCAAAAAGAGGCCTCAAGCTTGCCAGGATGCCTCCATTGTGTTATCGTTGTCAAATCTGGTTTTTTAATCTGAAATTGTAGCTTAGTACATATATGATACATACACTGTATCGCGCAGGACTCGTAATTCTGTGGCGCGGGTTCGATTCCCGCACGAGGCAGAAACAAATGGGCAAAGTTTCTTTCACCCTGAATGCCCCTGTTACCTAGCAGTAAATAGGTACCTGGGAGTTAGTCAGCTGTCACGGGCTGCTTCCTGGGGGGGGAGGCCTGGTCTAGGACCGGGCCGCGGGGACACTAAAAAAAAAAAAAGCCCCGAAATCAACTCAAGATAACTGTGGATGGAGTTATTATAGGAAGCCCAGGTACAGTACAGATCACAGGGCTACAGAGTGCTGCCCAAGAGGTAGCCAGGTTTACCTAATATGCCAACTTATCCTCCAAAAATTATAGTGCCTCTAGCTACTATGAATACAATGCACAATGCCTTTGGTTGAGAGGCAGGACCAAAGAGTCAAAGCTCAACCTCCTGCAAGCACAAGGGTATCCACAGTTACAGTATAGATTAATGTCCTGAAGTTTACATTAAGTGGTAGCTAGACCCAACTTACCAAAGTATATACTGCACATATAGTAGTATCATGAATGTTGATTGGACCAGTTCCAGAACCGAGATGGAGGAGTACTATTGAGTAGAAATCTAAACATCGCATGGTTTTTGTGGTATTGGTGCGCGACTCATATTTACCTCATAAAACTAAAGCCGTCATCTTAAATTCAAGGTAATGTAACTGGAAATTTATTCCTACTGAGATTTGTGTTCACTGTACACCTGTATATTGCCTGAGTGTTCACTGTACATCTGTGCATCATCATGTGTGTTCACTGTACACCTGTGTATCATTGTGTGTATTCACTGTACACCTGTGTATCATTATATTCAACAGTCAGCATATACAGCGAAGATTTGTATGGTATATTAAAAGATATTTCTTAATTTCCTTTTCCCTATGAATATTTTGTCCAAGTTGGACAGTATTATTATTATTGGCAATTCTACAGAAATTGCTAATTCTACAATTCTCCATTTTCATTTTATATTTCTGCTAATACAGGAAAATTAAATTATCAATATTATGTAAAATTTATTAAGAAACAAAGATGTACATTTTCACATCCATTCAAAGCTTAAATTTAGAGAAAGAAATGCAAACAAAAGCAAATTTATTTAATAATAGAATCCTCAATATTTTCCTGAAGTTATTCAAATAATAGTATTTACACGCACACATAAATACCATTTAAACACCTTAAATAAATTAACTGATGCCTTAAGCATCGACAGCTGTACATAACTGTCAGGTTATATCATTACTGTACCTCATTATATTGAGGGACATATACCCAAAGAGGTCATGCTTGTTCAAGAAAAAAAGCAGCATTTCTGTGCAAAACTTTTGGTAGGGAAAATTTAAAGTACAGATACTTCAATACTTAACAATGAGAAAATGGAGGGGGAAAGGTATTTCATGCATTACAACAACAAAGACTGAAGAATTCTTTCATAGATGGTTTAAGTTCCACCAATTAAATCTTCACAACAGATACTCAAGGAATGCACATTCCCATAAATGGACACAAATATACTGTGTAAAGAAGGTAAGAGTGTTGAATGTGAACACATTCACATTGTAGCACACTATATTCTTAGTTGGGCACAGATATATGACAAATTTAGCAACTTCTCTTACTTGGTCAGGGTACATCATCCAAGGGAATAAGTTGTGCAATACTGAATACGGCTATGAAAACTCTGCATATTCTACAGGCTTTATCAGTACCTTTTATGTTTACACCCTGCAATAATTATGTGGATGTCTGTAGTTAATACTTTAAAATATAATTTGTTTCTAAATGCTGTACTGTAAAATTCTTGCTTAAAACAAGTGTTAGAAATATTCATTAGTTAATACAGTACATAGTGTCCAAGGATTAACATAGCTTAACTGAAAGCCAAGCAAAATTAAACAATCAAAAGGTATAATCCAAGATCAGAAAACCATGTTCTAATTTTCAGCAAACATTACTGATTAATGGGATAATTTAAGATGACATCTTAAACAATAGATGTATACCTTGACCTAACCTGACAGTTTAGTATCCCTTACAACATAAATGAACTAAACCAGTTCTGTTTTGTCATTAAATGAATTGTGTTAATTTATAATTTATACTTTGGGGGGGGGGGTTAAATACAAATTTTTAAACAAAATAATGTCACAGTAGAAACCTGCACCTGCTGATGGTTTCGGATACCACCACCCGTTCACAAGTCACTCACTAGGTCTCTAGTCGATGGCCTAATCAGCCAGGCTGATGGTACTTCAAGCTCACAGATAATACAAAAATGTAATTTGCATAATAAAATGTGGAAGTCTGAATATCCAACAGTATCCTGGGAATCCAACTGCACATCTTAGAGAAATGGGTACAACCTCTCACACAATTAGCACCATCTATCAACATCTTAACTCTTGCTAATTTAAAATATTTCCATAATACTGATCACAAATGACTATACAAATCTAAAACTTTTGAATAACTTACACGTGTAAAAGGGACTGGTTCTAGTCAAGTATTAATACAAACAAAATTTTAGCAAACCAATGGTATTATTTAGAGAATATCACATTTCAGTCTTAAAAACCAGGTTTAAAGAAAGTCACATTTTAAAATATTGCATTAATTTACGCAGTTTTTGAATGGAGTAACATCACCTAGATACAGTACACATTTTCATATTTTGTGGCAAACCACTATTGCCTAGCACTAGCACCGATACACAGTGCCAACACCATGACTATGCTAGTGATGCCTATCAAGGAAAACGTGTCAAAACCACACCTATCGAACCTTAATTAATTCACTCTTGAACACTAAGGGGTGGGCCAATTCTGCCCCTTATGTGTAATGGAAGTACAGGTATGTTGAATAGTCTCAGGCCTCTGATGTTGATAGTCCTCATTCTCATTTTCTCTCTCTCTCAGTGCCTATTGCACCACTGCTTTTCAACGGGGGTATTCTGCACATCCTGTCATGCCTTTCTGGTCTCATGTGGTGTTATTTCTGTGTGCACGTTTGGGCCCAGCCCCTCTTAATATTTTCCATGTGTAAATGTATTATGTATCAGGGTTCTCTATTCCCAAAATCAATCTTACCTACTACTACATATAGTGTGGTAGGTTATTGAGCACTCGTCCACATTTGATTAAAGTACTTTTACAATGGCAAATAACAATTCAATTCTACACATATAACAAAATGTTTGCATGCTGGTTAGCATTGTAAATATATGGTAACGTCCATGGTTGAAAAAATCTTACCTTGGCTCATGATTAAGACTCGAGATTCATTTCTGTTTGTGACTGTGGCAGATATTTCCAGGACGGCAATACTGCTGTTGTGTTCGTCATTTTCCTGCCTAGATTTTGAATGAGGTGCTTTAGTACAAGAGAGCCGTACTTACTCGTATGTTGTTCCACCGTTTCCAGGAGATGATGTTCCTTCCCCGAGTCCACACACACCTCCCTACTGGGCTGCGCCCACTCAACTGACTCCCCTGATCTGCTGCTCCTCAGCTGAACATGAGGGTTTTGCATTTGTTGTTTAGGGATTAATCCCTGAAGATTACCATGACGGCATCAATTCTGACCTCTTTGCGATTCGATGACCGTTGACCTGACTCTATGGCTAACTTGTACAGAGGTGTAACTTTTACATTGTCTGCCGCCGCCTGTCTGGCGCCTGTGGGTTGTTCATCCTCCACGTGGCCTGTTCATGCTGTTATGATGTTCATGTACTATGTACTGCTCTCTTGTTACACCTTCACAATCTGGATATGACAGCTCCCTAAATTTTGGAAGCAGCTGGAGAAGGAAAAATGGAGCAGATGTAAAGCAAAATCAGAAATAGCCATGCCAAAAATATTGTAAGTCATGAAGGATCAGAATAACAGGTGTGAACTATTAACTAAATCCACTCCTAAAATGCTACGGAAACTACAAAGTGTTATCAAACTTTATTTTCTTCAATACATTACATTATCATGAGTGGGTAATAGCAAAATTACATATCAATCATTTACATTTTACTTGTGTAGATACCATTCCTTTACAATTTATTTGGCACCCATTCCGTGAAAAGGAATGTTTAAACCTCAAAATATCTACAAATGATCACGTGTCTATGTAAGATTCCAACCAGATTACCAGCTTATAGAGCTTAAGCATTTCACCGACCTTCAACTGTAGCAAATCAGGTTGATGACAAATACTGTAATTGCCTTTCTTAATTAATACCATTGTAAAATACCTCTGAAGCTGCACAAGTTAACCCAGTGAACTAAATAATTATTCCCACATTGTGAAACTATTAAGGCTGTACACGTAGGATCTTGTGATTATACATTCTCACATTCTTTCATGCTACTCTCAATTCTAATATTTATGTTTATAAGAGAAAGATGGATTTGTTCAGTTACATATAATATGGTATACAAAAAAGATATCACAAATTAATGAACAAGCATTTTAAAAGCTTAAACTTTGTAATGAAGGAGGTAAACAAATTTAATTACATGTCAATAATTAGTTTCACATTGGAAACCCCAGTAAGATACACACCATGCAAGGCAGCCAAACAGTAGATCTAACTTTCAAACACTGAAATAAACACTTCACATGCACCAAGTTGTGTAAATTTAAACAGTGATAGAAACAGCAAATTACAAGCATAAATTTGAGTAAATAACTGCACTTCAAGATGGAGTGCAGTAATATACTTCCATTCTTTGTAACATATTAAAATCTAATGATTAGCTACCAGAAATTATAAGACATGATTACAATTGCCAAAGTCACTTATATAACAACTTTGATAAAATTCAAATTAAGAAAAGATACCCCAATTTAAAATTCTTATCTCACTTCATGAAAATACTTACCCAAATTTTTTATAGACTGTAATTAAAGGTATTGGTTACATTAAGTAATGCATAATACAAAATGTCATATTTTGTATATAATTGCTAATGCAATTATGATCATTAAGTGATCCCCATTTATCCCATTACACTAAGGTATACAAACAACATTTAGAAATGCAAGACTTTTACAATATTAGTAACAAAAATTCAGATAAAAAATTAAATTAAGATTTCACATGGTTGAGAAACATTTAGGTTATCAGGACAGTCCGCAATGCTATCGACTTAACATACTGTATATAAATGCTTAAAGATCACAGTTTCCAGCAGTCTCGTGTATAACAATAAGGCACTAGTATTGGTCCAGCCTACAAGAGTGGGTGGCACTAGTATTGGTCCAGCCTACAAGAGTGGGTGGCACTAGTATTGGTCCAGCCTACAAGAGTGGGTGGCACTAGTATTGGTCCAGCCTACAAGAGTGGGTGGCACTAGTATTGGTCCAGCCTACAAGAGTAGGTGGCACTAGTATTGGTCCAGCCTACAAGAGTGGGTGGCACTAGTATTGGTCCAGCCTACAAGAGTGGGTGGCACTAGTATTGGTCCAGCCTACACGAGTGGGTGGCACTAGTATTGGTCCAGCCTACAAGAGTGGGTGGCACTAGTATTGGTCCAGCCTACAAGAGTGGGTGGCACTATTACACAGTACCACTAATTCTTCATAATCGTCAGGAAGAAAGTGACAATCTGGAACCTTGGTATTTGTGTATCTAAAATCTAATTATTGGCCTTGTACAAAAGGTATTGAAAGACTTAGGATTATACCACTATAATAAAATGTTTGAGCAAGGTAAATAGTATTTCTCAATAATTGTACAAACCAACATGCTCAACTTACACCTGCTAGATAGGAGGAAAGGGTTAATACGTTTTATCTTGACTGTAAATGTGTCAGTCAAGTAAGAGTCAATGACAAAATTCATAACTGGTCTATCAGAGAAATCTTTGTCTTTCAAAATGCTTAAAGAATATAACTTAACCATAACTTAAATATACTTGGCTTTTACAACAAACAATTTTAAGTGGATCAGCTACAAGATGCATACCAGTGCGTGCAGTTCAGTACACAAATAATAAAGAGTTCAGGTCATTCTAATTCATAACTGTAATTAGTCATGGCACAATCCTACGCTCTACTACAAATAGCAAAATAGAGAGCAACATTTATTTATATATACTGTACAGTATATATAAATAACTGCACAGTATACAGTGTACTACTGTAATATATTATATATATATATGGAGGAGTGTGTGGCACTTTTTTGAAACTAAGATTACTACCTATCCTACACACACACACACACACACACGGTCCTTGTCAAGATATTTGCCATTACAGAGTCAAAAAAACACTAATTAGCAGAACTGAGTGTTTTGAGTAAAATTCTATAAATAACCAAGTTTCCTTAATGAAAAATATCCACCATGAGATGCAATAATGTGTCTCGATACAAAATTATTGTACCTAAAACAATCTTGTATTATAAGCCCAATAAGCCTCACCTTTGATAACTCTCACTGATCATTTACCTCTCAACACTCATTACAACTCACTCCTTCACACCAACACTAGGTGAATTACCCCCTTCCTTACCCCGTCAGAAAATATTATTTATATAATAAAGAAATAAATACTGATACACGATAATTCCCGAGGGCTGCGGGTAGTCTTGAAAGAAAAAACAGTTCTTCCCCAGTCAAGATTAACACAGTTTAGCTGTCCTGAACTACTCACTTTTGCAGGTAGTTTCCAAGATAACTTGACCTTCGTGAAGGCGGCATCCCAGGACGCAAGCTATAGCCGTGTACATTTACTCTAAAATTCAATTCTTACATTACAAATCAAACTTACGAGGATTTAAATCAATTGTCACAAAAACAGTCTGCATACACCAGTTTTCCATCTATGAAAGCTTTGCATCACTATCTTCCGTGATGTAAGAACAGTTATCAAATCCCAACATAGCAACGAGACCAAATATTATGATGCTGCTTTGAACTGCTATCCAACTATGATGAAAAACATTACAATCCACATACATACATACAGCCAGTTTTTCGTCATTAACTTCCAACTAACATCGGTTTTCGTTCCAATGTAGAAACAGAGTTTTCCAATTCCTTGGCAAACTCCTTCAGAAATTCTCCATAAACCATAGGCTCCATATTTCGGCCAAGATGATAAATAAGGAACCAGTCACCCAGGTTACACTTCTTGGCAATGAGGTCAAGATTTGGTCTCCCAGCCCACCGTCCGCGAACCTGTGAATAAAAATATTACATTAATGGCATTATTATGGGAGAAAAACAATTTAGTAGAAACACACACACCGCAGGTGGGAACAATCGCACGCGTGGGCGCGCACACTCATCACCCAACCTTTTCCCTACATTATGGTAACCAACGTTAGAAATACAACCTACTATGAAAATTAACGGCTCACAATTATCTACGTTTTCTATGCTATTGGCCTTGATAGGTTTGGTGGGTTGCTTAGGTTCGTACATTTCTAGTTAGGGTAGAAGGTTGGAGTGTTATGGCGCAGTTGACCAAGAGCACCGGGAGGCAGGAGGGAGGTCAACTGTCAGGAGGCACTTGACTGATTGATTGATGAAGATTAAGCCACCCAAAAGGTGGCACGGGCATGAATAGCCCGTAAGTGGTGGCCCTTTTGAGCCATTACCAGTATCAAGAGCTGATACTGGAGATCTGTGGAGAAGGAGGCACTACCAACCATTACTTCTTGTAGCTCAGTCGATTAAGGCAGCGTCTGGGATACTCTCGGACGCAGGTTCGAATCCTCATCACGGCTCTTGTAGATTTGTTCAGCAACCATTACCAACCATTGGTATTTACACACACACACGCTGGCCCCCTACCACAGTATTACATACTATATCCTTCCAAATAAATTTTGAGAAATATTAACAACAAATTAAAAATATCGAAGTGATTGATAAAACGTGACGGGCAATCAAGGAGGATGGTGAGGGAGTATAGGGAAGATGGGGGGGTGGAGGGCAATAGGAGGGGAGAAGGGCGTAGGGAGGGGAGGGAGAAGGGCGTAGGGAGGGGAGGGAGAAGGGCGTAGGGAGGGGAGGGAGAAGGGCGTAGGGAGGGGAGGGAGAAGGGCGTAGGGAGGGGAGGGAGAGTGTGTGTCCCCTCCCGCCCCCCAACACCACACTGGGGGCGGAAGTAGGTGAAGGCGGTGCCTGACTGCCTTACGCTTCAGCAGTGTGGCACCCAGTGTTCCTCCCTGGAATGCCATGCCAGGCAGGCCACACTCGCTCAAACAACACGCCGCCAGACAACCGACAAGCTGTCAGCTTAATGCCGCTATCAGTTAAATGATGTGCTGTCCGTTAACCCTCAAATGGCAGCTCACGTCAACTGACGCCTTTCCACAACATAAATCAGAAAAACTGGATGCTGCCTATAAATCCCTTTACTTGCCAAGATCTGAACTATTTTGCTATTATTATCTACAAGACAAACCTTATTATATGTAGTTATTATGTAGAATAATTTTGAAGCCTGTAGCATCATTTCGCCCAAAAGTGTTACAAGAAGATTGGTGCTAGAGCTAAGAGGGATTAAGCTATGAGGACAGACTAACTGAACAATCTCTCAACCCTAGAGGATACAAGAAACAGACAAGACATGATCACAACATATAAGATACTAAGGGGGAATAAATAAGATTAACAAAGACAACTTTAAATTGGGAGACAGTATGACAAGACGGCGTCAGTGGGAGCTGGAAGCACAATTGAGTCAAAAGGAAAGTAATGGAAATATTTATGATCAACAAGTGGAATGCACTGATATAGGTTCATACAACTTCGTAAGGCCAGATTCAACCCAGTTCAAACGTCAGAATAGTTGAACGACATGGCAACAAGTACAATAAGGCCTCACTCCCCAGCAGACATTAACAAGTATTGAAAGGAAAGCACCTGTCTTTATGGGTGTCTTCACCAACGCACCAGGGACACCAAATACGTGAAACCAGGGGGAGGGGGAACAAGGGAGAGTAGGGAAAAAGGGAGGGAGAAGTAGGGAGGGAAGGAGAGTACACTACCCGGGTCGACCACTTTAGGCTGCTAGCCCAACGCCATCAGAAATCAAGTCAGTTGTCCCTGCGGGGACAAAAAATATGAATGTGGTGTGTTCGTACCACTCCACCAAGCTCTCTCTCTCTCTCCAGCACCACTCCTCAACTTCCACTCCTACACCCAACCCCAAACACCTTACAGGAGATGAGACACACAGGTTATCCTGATCATAACATATGAAATACCGAGAGAAGAGAAAACGCGGAAAATGACGGCCTCTTGAAATTGAGAGGAAAGTTGCGCAAGTGGAAGCTGGACGAGTGGCTGTAAGAAAATACTCATACCCTGTAATGGTCAACAAGTGGAATGTACCAATACTAGTGCTTGTGGAAACAACCACCTTCCACAACTGTATGACCACATTTGACACAGAATACCAACTTCAGGAAAGTTGATATATACCAATAGTGGGTTCTGGAAGTACCAGTGGAGGTAGTTGCCCGAAACGCTCTGCGTACTAGTGGCTTTAGGTACTGTATGTACTACCTCTATCTTTAAATCAAACAATGTTTGTACTGTAACTCTGCAACTATGTACCTTTCCTAAATAAATTATTATTATTATTATTATAGTGCTGCTTCCCAAGCCTGACCTGGGTGTGGGGGAGCCAGGTATTAGGGTAGTAGGCGGGCCAGTGTGCGCTAGACCTTATTTCCCCGCACTCACATAGGTAAGTAACCCCCTCGAAAACCACTCCTAGCCTAATCCTTCCCCACCCTCCCCTCCCTCGCTAGCCCGTTCGCTTCTCTAACAACCTTTTCCTTTCTAGACTTATCTCCCCCTTCTACACCAGCCGCCAATATCCTCCCCTCCGACAAGCCTCCCTTGTTCTACACCTCCCCTACCCCCCCCCCTCCCCATTGGCCCTTATTGTAGTGATTTAACTTCGGGTGTCGTTGGGCAGCGTCACATCCCGTGCGTGACCACACCGCCAGACCATCATGCACAACACCCCCCAATAGGAAGAAAACCCGCGGGTCTTCCCCTCTCTTACTAACTAGGGGGAGGAGGCATGAGACCAGGGGTGTTGCACATGCTGTTCTGGTGGTATGGTCACTCTCCGAATAGGTAACGCTGTCCGATATACTCGCCCTTCGGAACAAAATAAATATATACATATATATATATATATCTCATCTCTACTGTCATCAGACCGGTGGGGCGCCTGACCAATTATTTTTCATCAACTTTGCCAATTATTTCAATTAATGCCGCGACTGTTGCTTGTTCTAATCTATAACGGAAGCTGGTATGTTCACCTAGTAGTAAATATGTACACATGTAAGCTGTTGGGGAGGGGGGGGAATTATGGTCACACGGTACTCCCCCCCCCCCGGGGGAAACACGTGTTCAATAGGCCTATTGAAGCACGACAGACAAAACATGCTAGAGTAAACGGTTGACCAATGTTGGAGCAACTTTTAATCAACAGATAAACGATTAATCAAAGTTGGATCAACTACTAATCAAAGTTGGCTCAACTATTAATTAAAACCTAATCAACGTTGCCTCAACGACTAATCAACCTTGCATTAACGTTTAATCAACATAGAATTAACAAATAAAGAACGTTTGTACACTGGTAAAATTAATTAACCGTCAATTTCCCAGATTTGCCCGAGAGGCTATTGAAGGGGTGGAGAGGTTACAGGGGGGGTAGTGGGTCACACTAGCACTCTTTCCCAGGGCGATCACCACATACGCTGAGAAAGCAGCAATATGGTGAATACTACCCAAGTTAAGGTCACAAATGTAGAAAAAGTCTTATCATTGGTTACCACAATACCCACCACTCTAAAGTCATGTTTCCAAGAAGTACCCGAGCACTAACTCTGGCAAAACCTTGTATCAATAAACTTGTATGTGTGAAGACAAGCCAGCAAGACTCAACACCCAGTAAACGCTGTGAGGATTATTTATGTACACGCTAAGTCACACACTGGTCAAATATTGCGCCAGGCAGGATTCAGGCGGCTTTATTTACTTTAATCAAGAACTGTATGTATATGAGAACGTCGTCGTCTCTTCATCTCCTGGTGTGGGTGGGTGGGTGGGTGGGGGGGGGGGGGTGTGTGTGTGTGTGTGTGTGTGTGTGTGTGTGTGTGTGTGTGTGTGTGTGTGTGTGTGTGTGTGTGTGTGTGTGTGTGTGTGTGTGTGTGTGTGTGTGTGTGTGTGTGTGTGTGTGTGTGTGTGTGTGTGTGTGTGTGTGTGTGTGTGTGTGTGTGTGTGTGTGTGTGTGTGTGTGTGTGTGTGTGTGTGTGTGTGTGTGTGTGTGTGTGTGTGTGTGTGTGTGTGTGTGTGTGTGTGTGTGTGTGTGTGTGTGTGTGTGTGTGTGTGTGTGTGTGTGTGTGTGTGTGTGTGTGTGTGTGTGTGTGTGTGTGTGTGTGTGTGTGTGTGTGTGTGTGTGTGTGTGTGTGTGTGTGTGTGTGTGTGTGTGTGTGTGTGTGTGTGTGTGTGTGTGTGTGTGTGTGTGTGTGTGTGTGTGTGTGTGTGTGTGTGTGTGTGTGTGTGTGTGTGTGTGTGTGTGTGTGTGTGTGTGTGTGTGTGTGTGTGTGTGTGTGTGTGGGGCTTGGTCATCATGTCTTCAGCCATGTTATTGCGACTCTTCGTCTGCACGTACTATCACAGCCACACGCGTGCGTGTGTGCGCGTGTGGCTGTGGGGTGCACACGCAACCATCCTCAAGAGTGGCACTATCGTAAACTTGTGTTGAAGTGCGCGAAGGAGCGCCTCTCTGGAGGGAAGAGGTACTATGAGAGTAGAGATAACAGAGCAGAAAGGTAACGAGTGGCGTTCCACAAGGGTCGGTACTAGGCCCCATACCGTTTCTTGTAGTGTGCGCACAACCTAATACAGAATTAGCCCCCCTCCCCCGCGCAAATGGACCCCCTTTTCATATCCGATTTTGAAGACTCGGAACAGAAGAACTGTCAATACCTTGCCATTTTAAATGCAAATACGGCAAGACCCTAGACCCTGAACTATCAAACATTAGAAGGAAAAAAAGGTCCGAGAGCTAGCGCCCGACCCTGCAAGTACACAGTGTATATAATCCGGTATAATCCGTGAGATAACACTCGAGCATCGGCTCGAGTGAGACGTAGTAGAGTTTTCAAGTACAACCACAAGGCAGCTTCACATTCTTCTTCCGCGGTGACGTCACATGCAGCACTGACCAATCACGGGCCGACATCAACCTCCCTCTCCCCCCCCCCCTCTCCCGCGCCCCCTTTCCCTTGTATGTTTTAGTGTTTGTATAAGGTGAGGGGTGAATATAATAGACCAACTTCAAGGTGAACACAATAGACCAAGCTCACGAATATAATAGACCAAAGCTCAATACAATAGATCACATACTCAACCTAGCTTGTGTTGGTTCCGGAGGCCACTGTCCACGCGGCGGAGCTCAATGGGAATATAATAGACCGCGTTCAAAGTGAATATAAAATTAATAGTCCAAGGGGTGGGAGAGAAGGGAGAGAGGTCCGCTAGCCGCGGGGTGAGAGGCCCCGAACTCTTATGAAACACAATAAGCTCAATCGTTCCACCAATCCCCCTCCTGAGTGGGATGCTCCCCCCCCCTCTCTCAACCCCTCCCTGCCCCCCCCCCCCACACACACACACACACACTTACTTCTCCCTCTAACATTTTGTCCATTCCTACCCCCCTATCTTGAGGTTATCTTGAGATAATTTCGGGGCTTTAGTGTCTCCGCGGCCCGGTCCTCGACCAGGCCTCCACCCCAAGGAAGCAGCCCGTGACAGCTGACTAACACCCAGGTACCTATTTTACAGGGGCATAGGGTGAAAGAAACTCTGCCCATTGTTTCTCACCGGCGCCCGGGATCGAACCCGGGACCACAGGATCACAAGTCCAGCGCGCTGTCCGCTCGGCACACCCTGTACCAGTATATCTTTGGCTTCACCTTCAATAATGTTCTCGGGCGGATAGGAGTATACCTGGAGTATACCTATCTCCTAGTGCATGCAGCCTAGCGTGCTTTTGGTCAACTAACCGAATATATATTCTGTATTTACACAAAACCATACAGGACTACAAAACCCCTTGAAAATTAACAAATCATCTGAAAATCCATTGAAAAAAATTCAATCCATTTGAAAAAGAACCACTTGGAAATCATTTCGAATAAATTATGAAATATTTTAGACAATTCCCCCCCCCCCCACCAAAATAACCTTGCAAAATATACATGGGCAAATATGACACTTGGTATTATAGTAAGCCCGCACATCGTGTCACGAATATAGTGGCAATGACCATTTGATGGACTGGTGTAAAGGCAGCCATGATGGTGTTGACACGCCTCCCTTGACGTGTTTGTCGGTGGCTGGGAGGCGACCACTGTCACGCTGCCATTACCGTGGGAGCGTCCATTACCCTGGGAACGTCCCTGAACCCTGGGAGCGTCCCTGGGAGTGTCCCTGGACCCTGGAAGCGTCCCTGGACCCTGGGAGCATCCCTGGACCCTGAGAAGCGTCCCTGGACCCTGGGAGCGTCCCTGGGAGTGTCCCTGGACCCTGGAAGCGTCCCTGGACCCTGGGAGCATCCCTGGACCCTGGGAAGCGTCCCTGGACCCTGGGAGCGTTCCTGGACCCTGCGAGCGTCCATTACCCTGGGGTCGCCGACATCTACCCATGGTGGTAGATGTCTCCAACGCGACGACATCTACCATTATTCAACCTGTATGCTTTAGGTTATTCACAATTTGTCTAAAAAAATGTGAAACGACTAACACTATATAGAGTCATCTCAACGGTATTCAATTTATCTAAAATGTGATTGATTTACACTGTTGCACACCTGTTCAATCCAGTCATAATTGGAAAGATCTGTTCGGTTTTTAATAATAATTGGAAACCCACACCCACCACAAACTCTATTCATAATTTAAAATGGAGCTTTGAGCCCATCAGCCTCTGGAACCTATACATCAGTCGATTAATGGGTGAGGCGGGACCCACGAGTCATAGCTCAACAAAATGGCGGTGGTTCAATAAATCTACAAACTTCGCGAGTTATAACTCATAACTCTACAGAAAATGTAACTTGTACAATACTACACAACAACTTTGAGGTGCGTTGACTAATGAATTTAGATTCAAAATTTCAAATTCAAAAAGTTGTTACAGCCATTTAAATCATTTATGCATTAGCAGCAACAAGATTAGACCAGCAAAGTGAGCCGTAAGCGTGCTAACAAATCATCTGAAAATCCATTGAAAAAAATGAAATCCATTTGAAAAAGAACCACTTGAAAATCATTTTGAATTATGAAATATTTTAAAAAATTCCCCCCCCCCACCCCCACAAAATAACCGTCTACTCCTGTACCCACCTGTATGGGGTACAGAGTTGGGTACACCTGTATGGGGTACAGAGTTGGGTACAAACCTAACTCCAACACTGTACAGACACCTAAACAATTAACACCCACTGTAGCCCAGTGATCCGTGTCCTCGGCTTGCCTCCGAGGCTCAGGCGTTCGATCCCCAGGCAGGACAGGGGTAGGTTGGGCAAGTTTTACTATTAAATCCATGATACCTCTGTTCACCCGGGAGTTAGACAACTGTTGTGGGTTGCATCCTGGGAAAGGCCAGCAGCTGGCCTAAGGGTGACCTCGATAAGACTTAAAAGGCTTCCTGTCCCCGAACATGGAAGACTATTCCATCCATCCACACCTCAATCTCCAGTACTCCCCCCCCACTCCATCTTACTTAGAGTTTACCTTGAGATGATTTCGGGGCTTAGCGACCCCGCGGCCCAGTCGTCGACCAGGCCTTCTCGTTGCTAGACTGGTCAACCAGGCTATTGGACGCGGCTGCTCGTAGCCTGACCTATGAGTCACAGCCTGGTTGATCAGGTATCCTTTGGAGGTGACCCAGGTGTGGATCCACACCTAAATCTCCATCCCCCTCCCCCCCCACACCTGGTTCTCCAGTCCTAACCCAGATCTGAGCCGGAGAACCCCTTGGCTAGTACTGAAACCTATTTAGAATACCCAATCCAATGCTAGCCTCTCTTCTCATCCAAGAGGAGACTCAAGACCCACCTGGAGGAGTTTGAAGCGGACGTCAGAGGAGGCGATGACGAGGAGGCGGTAGAGGAGCCAGAGGGCGGTGATGGCGGTGAGGCAGACGAGCCAGAACCAAATGAAGATGTAGATCTTCTCGTTGATGATGTTCACTGCTAAGACGCACATGGTGTCGTGGGTCTCAATCGTCCCAGACGACCCGAACTTCCTGAAAAATCACACAAGGTTGGAGTGAGACGCCAGCTTGGAAGATCATCCTTCCCCCCCCCCCTCCCTTTTCCCTATAGTCCGGCGTCGGCCACCCCCCAGCGCCAGACACCGGCCGGCCACCCCCCCCCCCAGGGCCAGACACCGGCCGGCCACACCCCCCCCCCAGGGCCAGACACCGGCCGGCCACCCCCCAGCGCAGTGACCTAATGAGTATTTCAAAGGTCATCCTGGGAAGCACCCGCTGGCCGGCAAGTAGATCCCTTCAGTGATACAACATTAAATGCCAGGCAGAATGAGTGACCTCGCCTGGTGGTTGTTGCGGGGGATGGGCCACGGCTCTTGGGCCCCGGCTCTCACGCGATCAACTGGCATGGACCAGGAGAATCGGACTGTCTAAAATAAAGCATTGCTCTGGTCAAAGTTACAATCCAACACCAAGCGTGTAATGGAGACTCGCTCAGGCACAATATAAGTTATGGTGACAACTGTTTTATAAATGGGTGGTGGGAGGGGGAGTGAGGAGAGGGGGTGGGAGATGGAAGGGGGGGAAGGGAATGGGGGGGGGTGAGGAAGGACAAGGGCCCACGCGCCGCCTGTTCCACAACCTGTTCCTGAGGAGAGACCATTCTCACACACACACACACACACACACACACACACACACACACACACACACACATTTGAGTGCCCAAATGAGCCACAGAGATATTAGAAAGAACTTTTTTAGTGTCAGAGTGGTTGACAAATGGAATGCATTAGGAGGTGATGTGGTGGAGGCTGACTCCATACACAGTTTCAAGTGTAGATATGATAGAGCCCAATAGGCTCAGGAATCTGTACACCTGTTGATTGACGGTTGAGAGGCGGGACCAAAGAGCCAGAGCTCAACCCCCGCAAACACAACTAGGTGAGTACACACACACGCGAGCCCCAACACCTCTCAAGCTGTTATATCATCCACCGTCTCTCATCACCCCATAATCCAGCTGTTTATGCATCACTTTCCCTCTCCCCCTCCCTCCTTACTGCTCTCCTTCCCTCTCCCCCTCCCTCCTTACTGTTCTCCTTCCCTCTCCCTCCACCCTCACACACACTCACTCTCTCCCACCCCCATCTTACCCTCCAGCTGCTGGCCCTCTCTCTCTCTCCCAGTCTTGCACCACCACCACCATTACACATGACACCAGTTAAGGCACTTCCCGTTCGCGCCTCACCCGGGGCTCTGGCACTCATGCCCCAGGCCTCTGGCACACATGACATGCCCTGCCCTTGGTCTGACACACATGCCTGCAGCTCCTGGCCCTCACATCTGCACCTACACGAGTAACACATTCTCAGCGCCACCAGCAACTTGTCAACACCAGCAGCTGGAGCCTGGCACTCTTGACACCTACGCCCTAGAAGCTTCCCAACACTGCCACGATGCTGGGTGTTTGGCTGGCGTAATTAGGTGCGCGATTAGGTTCAGAAAGAGGTGTTATACATTAGGTAGTCTATCAAGGGCCAATCACGGAAGGGAGGGTCTCTCCTGGTGGCACCGCGATTGCCCTCCCAGCAGCATCACATCCTGTGGCACAGTGCCACGCTCTCTGCCCAGGCCATAACCTTGTGATGTTTGACACAAGGGGGGCATAACTAGCCAACCTCCCACACGGTGCCTAATGCCTACCTGATCACTCGAGCTGTAATTCATTCATCAGACTGTGGGCGGCGGCGGCGTCTAACAGCCTGGTTTAGCAGACAACCAGGCAGGAGGCCCAAGTCAGAGACCGGGTCGCGGGGGGCATTGATCCCGGAACCACCTCAAAGTATGGATGGATATTAATAAATGGGGTTTAATCCACCACCCTGTCTCTAGTTCTGTCTGTTGCTGAACGCTGCACCTATAGTCGACCTGTAGAGTATTACCTCTAGCCGGTTTTCAGAGTCCAGCTGTGATTCCTAAATTTGCTGTGGGAGGAGGATGAAGTGCCGTGGGATAACTTGACCAGTCAGGCTGTTGCTTGGAGCGGCCAGCAGACCAACCCATCCATCACCATCCCCCACACCCCCACCCTGCTTGACCTAACACGGCGTAAAAATGACCCAATTGCCTCTTTAACACGTAAGAGGTTCCGGCAATATTGCATTAGTGTTCTGTAGTTAAGCTTGTTAAGCCTTATTGTGCGGGGTCTACACTACACTTACGCTGCTCTCTTATTTTACCCTGTACCTAAATCAACTCAATACATATTGAAAAATAATAAGCTTAAGTTGGGAAATGGGGTAGACAGAATGGGGGAGGAATGGGTGAGCCTAGTAGGGTGGGAGGGTGGTGAGAGAGGCGAGGGGTGGCAGTGGGGGGGGGGGGGGGGAGAGGAGAGGCATGGGCTAGGGGTTGGGGGGGTGAAGATGACGCAGGAGACAGACAAACAGACAGACAGATGGAGGACTCACCTAAAGGTGCACTTGGTGACACGAGGGAAGATGCGGGTCATGGGGTCGACTCGGTTCTCCGGGTCCATGTCGGGGAAGTTGATGACCTCGGTGCCGTACTTCATGAAGGTGCCGTCCAAGAAGAGGTCGGTGAAGTAGATGTTCCCCACCACCACCACCAGGCACAGCGCCTCGCACAGGAAGAACCTGCACAAACACACACATTAAACCTCTTCACGAATCCACGAAAAAAAAATATATATATACACATATATGCATGCATGCATACATACCTCCGGGAGACATGATCACCACATACAAAATGCTCACGGGAAATTGACAGGGTAGATAAGGACATTAGTTAACACTGGTGGTATTAGAACAAGGGGGTGGAGGGGGAGGAGGACAGGTGGAAGATGTGTACCCAAATGAGCCACAGACACGTAAGAAAGCACTTTTTCAGTGTCAGTAGTTAATAAATGGAGTGCATTAGGAGTGGTGTTGTGGAGGCTGACTCCATACACAGTTTCAAATGTATATATGATAGAGAGCCCAATAAGCTCTTAAACCTGTGCACCAGTAGATAACCGTCGAGGTGGGACCAAAGAGCCGAAGTTCAACCCTCGAAAGCACAACTAGGTGAGCACACACACACGAGAGATAACCTAGGCTTCAAACATTGAGGAAACTAATGGTGAAAGCTACTACAGGTAAGGCAGCCTACCGTATCATTTCCCGTGACACTGCACACACACAGACGCCCCGCTGCCACCAACACACTAACCCATCATCAAGTAATCACCAGACAAGCCTGACCTCTTCCATCTAGGTTTGAAGAGAACTCTCGAAACCAATTAGAGGTATATACAGGGTGTGTGTGTGTGTGTAATACAGCGCGCTGAACCTTTGGCAAACAGCCTAATGCTCTCATATAGACCTATTCCCACACGCCTATATATTGTGTAATCATAATTGTATTTTATAGCCTAATGTGTATTTATTTGTATTAGGCTATTGTTTTCCCCTTTATAAATAGTGTAAAGATGAACTGAAGCAGTGACGGGATTCGAATTAGGCTTGCGTACCGCAAGCTACGATTGTTAAGAGCAAAATTTAACAAATGGTAAAGGAGCAGTGGTGACCTAGTTGTTTAACTGGGCTGAGGCTACTGGTGGTGGAGGAGCCCATCTGCCGGCATTACCTCACAGGCCCACGCCGCCGCCGTCGCCGCCGCCTCCCAGGTATATTAAGCCACAGGTATGTTCCACGTGATTGAAACACACAATAAACTTTCTTGGCCGTAGTTTTGAAGGCTGCACCACCACAAACGTCCCGGGAGGCGGGGAGATGAACACGTCTCTCTTGACAATTTTCCACTGGTTGTCCTGGCAATATTTCATATATTTGTTGGAGCAGCTGAAGGTAACGTGATATTGTCGAGGGTGAACCAATATGGGATTAATAACTGCGTAAACAAATTGAATCTCTACACTCAACAATTTGTGTTGTCCTGCTCGGAGTTTACCTTACCTAGGTTAGTTTACCGCCTCACCACGGTAAACTAACGGCCCAATTCCAAACTCCCGAAAACTTCCACAGTAGAAGGGGTAGATGGGACTTATAATCACAGTAGAAGGGTGGGTGGGTGACAGAAGCACAGTAGAAGGGGGGTAGGAGCAACGAACCTAGAAGATGGGGGAGGGGGTGGAAATAACGTGCATAATTTATAAAACGAGTCGGTCCCCTAACTGGTATCTTGGGAGGAATTTATCCCGGCTCCCTCATGAACACAACCATGGGTGCGCTGGTTGTGCACTGAAAATCACAATACATTACATTGCTGGTTGTAAATCTTACGTTCAGTGCTGCAAACCCTTGCGCACGTTGTTTAAAGAATTTGTTGTGCATTTCAATGGGACTATTTTGCTATGTTGGGGCAATAAGGAATATGGGCCCCGCCTCGGGCCGGGCTTTGGGAGTAGAAGAACTCCCAGAACCACATCAACCAGGTAAAGCGGGGGAGTTGTAGTGATTGGAAGATACCTGGTTGATGGGGTTCTGGGAGTTCTTCTACTCCCAAAGCCCGGCCCGGTGCCAGGCTTGACTTGTGAGAGTTTGGTCCACTAGGCGTGAGGGGGCAGGGAACAATCGAGATAAACATCAATTTTATCTCGTTCTTTCAAGTAAACAAGTTTTTCTGACATTTCTGACAGTCACCAAGGAAACAATAGACCAAAATATTGTAATCAAGTAGGTTGTTAGGCTACAAAGCCTCATCACAAGCGAGACTGTTCTAAAAAAAAAAATACTGTTTAAAATGCGCTCCAAGGAACGCGTAGATACTTAAGAATATAGGAAACTCTAGAAGGCCTCTTGGCCCACACGTGGCAGCTCCTATTTATATCAACCAAAACTCAGTCATATACATGTCTAGCCTACGCTTGAAACAATACGGCGGTCCCGCGTCTGTAATATTACCCAGAAATTTGTTCCATACACTAACACTCCTAACTCCAAGCCAATACTTACCAAGATCTTGGATGAATCTAAACTTACTTAATTTATGCCAATCATTTCATTTTTTGTGCGTATATATATTTAACACTATTACGGCACACCTTAAATTTATAGGCTAATTAGCCAGACGGGACTAATGCATAGGCCTAGCCTAAAGTACTTGAAGTATATACATATGTTTTAGTAAGATAAAACTACACTTTCCTACACAGGACCACCACCACATACATAGTTACAGCAGTAATACCAGCGGAGGTATTAACAATTTCAATTATACAATGTATTCAAGACAACAAAAAAATAGCACAATATATCTGGGTTCTCCAGTTTACTATGTTCCACAGGAAGACAAAGGTGTCTTCATTTACTTGGTTAGCGAGGCAAGTTCTTGAGAACTACAGCAATATGGAGAGAATGTCAAGGGTGGTGAAGTATCCGACCTGTCCTCGGGGAGGTTCAAATTCAAGTATGTTTATTGAGATAAGCAAGAAATACATCTCAAAGGGATAGAGTAGCTTAGGCTATTTCTACCCCCCCCCCCCCCGCTACTCGAGGAGGTGGTCCGCCCAAGGCAATGGATTTGGGACCATGTTGTTGTTGTTGTTTTAGATTTAGCTACTCCGAACGAAATGTCCATGTAGCACAGGCTATAGTGAGCCCGTAATTGAGTTCGGTTATTCGCGGTAACCTTGTTCTGTTATATTTGAGTCACAGTTTCAAGCGGAGGTGACGTTTCCACCTTTTCTCCCGTTTTCTTTTCCACTTGTGTTTTAACGCACTGGATTTAGTCTTTTGTGTTATTAACATTATCTTGGTGGCGAATATATATATGCACAGTGTTCACTAGTGTGTCCCATCCTTCACTTGCTGAACAAGAACAAGTGCATGGACGGATAATCTAGTCAAGATTTTAAAGAAAGTGGACGTGAAACGGACCAAAAGAAGATAGACCACATCAACACTTTCGGCAGCCTCCTCCATGGGATGAATCGAGTCTAAAGATATTCATTGGAGGATTACCAGTTTAAAAATCAGCATGTGACTCGCAGAGGCTCAAAGCAGTCATTGAACAAGTGGAAACCATCTCAAGACCTACAACCACTCACATCTTCACAGACGGATCAGTTGATCAAGAAAGAGGTTCTGCTGGGGCAGCAGTTTACACTAACAACCATGAATCTTACTGGAGCATGAATAGTGGGTGCTCAACATTGCAAACACAATTATATGCCCTGAAGGAGGCTATAAATTATGCAGTTGAGAATAATTTACATGATGTCATTCATACCGACTCTAAATCTTCGCTCTAGGCATTGTTATCCAGCCACCACAGAGATAATATAAAACTCATCACAGAAATCCTACACACTGTATTGGAAAAGAAGCACACAATCTAGGGCTGTCGCTATCTATCTATCCCTATCTACTCTAGGCCTATCCCTAAATTGGATACCAAGTCACTATGGCATAGATGGTAATGAAAAGGCACTCACTTTCAAAAACTGCCACTGCTCTACCTGTTGTACAGGTAAAAATACCCCAAAGTTTTTCACAGATTAAGGAGCAAATAAAGAAAATACTCCCAATTATCAAAAGTCGCCACAGAGCCACAGAGCCAAAGTAGCGGAAGGAAGATCCACTGCGATACGAACAAGTCGCTGGGTATTCCTCTTTCAAGCCTGACAAAAAGATATCCAGAGACATTGCAGTAGCCATACACAGACTTAGTTACAAGTGCTGCTGGGAGGTAATAAAACCAATAGTTAAAGAATGTTATATCTGTGGAACAGATACAGAGGCGCCACTATTACATTACTTAGTGGAATGTGAAGCAACTGAGGCCCTGCGCACCAAACTCAACATTCATCCAACAGGAGCAGCTGCACTAAATGCAAACCCCACAGCGACTACAATGGTTGTGCACTGAAAATCACAATACATTACATTGCTGGTTGTAAATCTTACGTTCAGTGCTGCAAACCCTTGCGCACGTTGTTTAAAGAATTTGTTGTGCATTTCAATGGGACTATTTTGCTATGTTGGGGCAATAAGAAGGGAGCATAATTTGTGCCAATTATCTATTCTTTATCCAGGGTTATACAAGGGAGCATAATTTGTGCCAATTATCTATTCTTTATCCAGGGTTATACAAGGGAGCATAATTTGTGCCAATTATCTATTCTTTATCCAGGGTTATACAAGGGAGCATAATTTGTGCCAATTATCTATTCTTTATCCAGGGTTATACACCATAACAAAATTACAGAGAACTGCTTTAGTACGGTATAATTAAAGGAAGGCTTGGTGGGCGACGAGGGTCGAGAAGAGTGTCACCTGGGCTACCCAGTGTAGTGAAGCACGTAGGGAACTGTGTTGTGGTGATTGTGTTGTGGTGCTTTATCACGTATTGTAGTGTTCACCTTGCTCAACACTCTCCCCCAGCAACACTTGCACCTCGCCTCTCGCTCCAACACTTCCCCTCACCTCTCACGACCCTTACATGTACCTCGAACACACACCTAGGTAGGGCACGGGAGACATCTCCCGTCACGCAGGGTGCAGTCGCACCTCCACAGATCTCCAGTATCAGCTATTGATACTGGTAATGGCTCAAAAGGGCCACCACTTACGGGCTATTTATGCCCGTGCCACCTTTTGGGTGGTTTAATCTTCACCATCACCTAGGTGGG